AAACAGAATGGAGGGGAGGGGGTGGGGGGGGAGTTTCTTGAAGTGGAATAGTGGGTTACGCTGAGGGAGGGGAGAGTCCAATCTCAGTAAGGGGTGTTATCTTTTATTTTGTTCTGCCATTTACATCTTGCAAGGGAGCCTAGTTCCATCCATTTTCATTGTTTTTCTTACTTTTCCCAGTGAGCATTGAAACAGAGGACACTTCCTCAGATTTCATTGAATTCTAATATCGGAATTGTCTTGAGTTTCATCTTTATTTCTGGTTCCTTTCAATTTTATTCTCAAAACTTATGGAAATAGAAGATAATATTGTTAATCAAACTGAATACTAACCCACCTCCCAAAAGACAGAAACTTGGTTACAATGATACTTCAGGTGAATTAATGCAAACTGATGCATGACTGATAATTCCCCTAACAAATCCATCACTTAGAGTGGCTAACGAGAGCATGGAGCAAGGAGAAGTCTATACCAAGACAATGAAGAGCCAAAATTAAATGCAATCAAGAGGATACCTTATCATCCTCCACGTGTAGTTGCCGCAACTTCCTTTGATAGCAAAATTCATATGACCACCAACCTTCTTGCTGCACATTCAAACAAATAATGTTAGGAAATGATAAATGATAGATGCCGTATGATTAAAAAAGACTCCTGAAAAACCAAACAATCAGACCGTAAACTTCATAAATAATAGTTAATATATCACTGTTGGAAACAATTGAAATACTAACTCTGAGAAAGCATTGAGCCTTTAATATTTCTAGCAGTTCATCTGGAGTCTTCTGTTTAATCCTTTTCTCAGTTTCGACAATCATGCTGCTAATATTGTGCTGGATAACAGGCTTTCCACTTTTTTCCTTTTCCACCTTAGGTAAATAACATACAAATTTCTGTCCATTTTGATCCGGCATAACTATAAATTCCTGGTCATCATCCTGTAAATGAAGTATTCCAAGTTCTTAAGAGAAGGTGATGCGATAAAATTATATATAATTGACTGTCACTACATCCTAGAAAAAGAAAAAAAAAAAAATCCAGTTATGTCCAGGTCTAGAAAGGAAACTTAAAAGGTCCAGTATAATCATGAGAAGGCCACTCCCATAAATTGCGAGTTACTCAGTAGTCAGTCTTTGTTGTCAGTCAACAGTAGTTAAACTACTCAGGGTCTATTTATATCAGATTGTAACAGAATTGATTTTGAAGGAACTGAGATTGAAATAACCAGTTTTGAAAATAATTGTATTTGGAAATAATGTTCTAAAAGTGAGTTTTAACTTTGGAAGAATTCATTTTGTCACAGAATTGATGTTAAAAAAAATAATTGTATTTAGAAATAATGTTTTAAAAGTGAGTTTAAACAATAGAAGAATTCATTTTGTTTGGACAGTAAAGTAGAATCACTTTTGAACTGTAAATACATATGTTTTTAAAAAAATGTGGGTTCAAAACTCAAAATCAATTCTATTCACCTTGAAAGCTAAAATTATCCCCCTCTAAAAATCAAGTTTGCTGATAACAACCTAGGAGAACCACAGTATAAAAGTTAGTTGTTGTAGTTGGAGAACCCAAGACCCTATTATCCCCACCCTATTATCCCATACCATTACATCCTACCAAGCACAATGATGCACTATTATTGAAAGCCATTTTTGCTCCTCAAAAATGCAGTAAAACAAACAACAAGGTATCAGATTCCTACTCAAGCAAAAAAGACCATGGCACTCTTCCAATCCCTTTGACATCATCAAAATAACACCTCCGTTAAATTTGCACAATCATAGTAGTTTCAATCATGTAAACATTCTAAAACACTTGTTAAAAACGACATGAATTTGAATGTCCAAGAGACACAATACTCATGTCTGCACCAGAGTAGTAGTTTGTACAACATTTAAATTGCAACTAAAAGCAGCGAGGAAAAATATATAAAAATAAAAAAAATTAAAAAAATCTTACAGGGTGAAAAGGGGAATCTTGGGGATGGAATTCGATCTTGTATTTAGGTTCGCGAGAGCGGCCACCGCCACCGCCAACGCCACCACCGCCTCCAAAAATGCTACCTGCATTAGATAATAGCAATAGCAATAGAATCAAAAATACGAATTTGAAACCCTAAGGGGAAAGAGGAGAGAAGGAGATGGTGATGACCGATATGAGCGGGGAAGATTTGTTCGGAGGCATAGGTGAAGGTGAAAGAGAAGAGAATGAAGAAGAGAAACAAATGCAATGGCTTCATCGTCTCCTTAAACCCCACACTTCCGATGCCGATTCCTTAACGTTGCACGTTTACAAATTTCCACGGATCGCACACCGAATGTCGCAGCTTCCACGTCTATGAACCAATCCACCATTGCCACGTTATCAAAACCCATTCAACTCAAGGCCTTTTGGCCGAAATAAATAAAAATAAAAAATACAAATTTATTGAAATAAATTAAAAACAATTTATCAAAATAAATTAGTTAGGTGAACCAAGATTTCATAAACGAAGAAAACGTTACCCTATATAATGTTTTATACATAGAAAGAGGCAAAACTACAAACTTCATCCCATTTGAAGTTTTTTATATACATATTCCAATAAAAATTTTAAACCATTACATCATGCACAGTTGGCAAACAAGTTCAAAACTCAACACTAAGACTAACATTTTTTATATACTACATGCCCAAAACTATTTTTTAAACAATTTATTTTACAAAATAGTTATTTATTATTTTATTTAGGTCAAGAAGCCTTCAACTGGAATACAACACAATTAATTAACTCTTATCTTTTTAAAACAATCCTTCATGCCCTTTATTTTTATTTAGTTTATTTTTTTTTATTCAGCTTTACTTATTTGAGTAAACGAATATTTTATATGTTAAAAATTATACTTTATGATAAATAATTTATATTATAAATTTTTTATTGATAATTTATTTTAATTATTATATTCAATTTATAAATATTTATGGCAAATAAAAATAAAATTAGATAAGAAGCCTCTATGATTCATGTTCCTTTAAGCCAAGCTAAACTCCTCCTAGTTTGACTTGAATAAAGTGTTTTCACTAGAAAATATCCATAAAGATACTTTTGTTAAAAAGAATGAACTTTTCCTTCAATACACAAAGTCTTCACATGAATGTGGGATCTTTTTTCTCAAGCACTATAAACAACTTTCTCATAGTCTTTATAAGTTTCCCATCTTGAAAATGGAATAGATAAACTTTTATATTCTCTCTGATTTTTCAACATTGGATTAGAATAAGGAACTAATGAAAGTACATGTAACATCCCAAAATTTTATTTTTATGTATTGGGATTATAACCTGTTTAACAACTTAATTTGATTTCTAAACTTTTGCCACTAAAACTAGGAAGTCTAGTACTACTGTTAGGGTAGAATAGTTTGGATATGACCCTACCACAACATTTGATGGAGTTGCCTTGAGAAGATGAAGCAATGGTTCTCCTCTTTCTTTCTCCTTGCTCCACAATCTTTCTTGAGGTCTTCAAATGTAGTAGGAAGCAAAAAAAAACAAAGTATGCTCTGTTTTGGGCATGTAACACCCCAATTTTCATAAATTATACGAAGGTTCAAAGCCCTATAAGGGTGATTTAGTAGCCCAAAACGGGTCGTTCCAAAACTGGAACGGGAAGTTCCAAACTACTAAAAAGACATATATTTAGTAGCCTAGAACGGGTCGTTCTCAAATTGGAATATGTCATTCCAAACTACTAAAATGACCTATAACCCTAGTTGGGAACGGACCGTTCTGGTTTAAGAACGGACCATTTCAGATGTGAATTTTACACATGATAAAAGGATCTAGAACGGGCCGTTTTGGATTCGAAACGGGTCGTTCCGGCCTCTCCTGACATCTATAAATAGCAGACTCTAGCACTACTTCTGGACACACTTTCTGAAGACCAAGGAGAACCAAGAGAAGGAGATCAACCAGATTCCGCTCTAGCTTCAACTTCTGCTTATCCAGGTAAGGGGGGAGTGAGAAACCTCGCTCTAGGTGTGGGAATGTATGTTGGGTAGTGGGATCGGCCCCTAATCGTATGTTTGTTGTGTGCTCATGTATGAGGGGTTTTTCCCAATTGTATCTGTTTCTTCCCTATTTCTCCCTAAATGTTCTAACTGATGTAATTAGTATCACTACAACGTTTTTTATATTAGGCAACGAGTTTTTCGGCAACGCCTAAAAAAATGTTCTCGAAATATGGATAGGCAACAATTTTGTAAATTGTTGGTACTTTGTTTGACAACAATCATAAAATCGTTCCCAAAAGCACATATAGGCAACACTTTATCAAAGCATGCACTATTCTCTTTTCAATATTTACAAAACTGTTCCTGAAATATGAAACAAGCAACAAATTTCTAGTCGTGGCCACTTCTCTACCCAACAGTTTAAAAACCATTCTTAAAATTGATATTAGGCAACAATTTATAAATTATTGCTTATTTTATATCATGCAACACAATAAAAAATGTTCCCAAAATATATTATTAACCAAGTTTATTATTAAAATGGAAAGTTTATTTCGTTAAAGTTAATAGGCAACACTTATAAACGTTGCTTAATGATTATACCTGCCCTTTTGTATTCCTGGGAAATATTAATTAAAAAAATTAAACTTCTCCTTATCTTTAATTCCAAAAATATTAATTCGCGGGAAACAAAAGACTTCTCGTCTCCTAAAACCAAAAAATAGAATCCCTATAATTTGCCCATTACGTTTGCTTGCTTCTCTGTGTCCTATATGCATCTTTCTCATCACGTGTAGCTAGTTGTTCTACGCTTTCTATTACTAGGCGCCTCTTAGGTATGATTCTCACCTTTTATCTGTTTCTCTTTGTATGTGATTGCTGTTATTTTTATCTCTCCCATTCCGTGAGGTGGTAGATTATGTGATGTTGTGCATTGAGTGTGTGGGTTATGGGGTTCACAAGTGTACGTGTGTGTGTGTGTACGATTATAGGTCTATGGCTATATGGGTTATATGGGTTATGAGTTCATTGCGATTATGGGTTATGGGTTCCGTTTGGGTATGTGAGATGGTTTAAAGTAGGTGCGTGAAAAAAAATTTTGAACCGAGACCTCAAAACTATTTTCACAAATTTCAAGCATTTTTGCAATTCATGTATCACTAATTATTTCCGACCGTTTATGTACATCACAATAAATTCAACATCTTGTATTATGGTGTGAGGTGCCCTTCTGAAGAGCATGGAAGAGGTGAATTGTTTTTGTGTCATTATACTTTTACTAATTTCCATGCTCGGAATATATGAATACTACCTCACAATTACACCTTCCCTCTCTAGATTTCACCAATTCAAACCTTTTCTTGTACAATTCAAATTCCCCATTTATTACTGTGTTAGCTTTCATGAGGAAAATAGCGTATGTTCATTATGCACATGGAGAAAGAGGCGTGAGCACAAACTAATATTGTGACAGATGGAAGTTTGATTTGGATTTTGCTGCATACTTAATCTGCTCTCAAATATGAGACACCTGCACTTCATTATTATACATTAGAAACCAAACACAATAGGATACTTATTCAATGCCTTGGAACTTCCAGTACTAAATTCCAAACCCAATATTTTCCTGCAATTCACTTCTCATCATTTTAGAAACACAATCCATCTACCAATACTTTAATACTTTGATTGTTTGATGTAGCTAGTAAAATGAAAGAAAAAAATTGTCTTCATTTAAATTAATTATGTTAGGAATGTAACAATTTGGCACATATATGAATGAATGAAGAAGGTACAATGATCAAGTTTATATCTTGTTGTGTCAAAAGGTACCAAGACAAAATTGAATGCTCAATCAAACTAGGCCTAGTGACTATTTCTAACACTAAAATGGTGCAGACAATGTGGTGATTTACTTTAATATGTTACAGGTTTGGTAGTTATACTTTTTTTGAATTTCTAATATAACATTAATTCTTTAGTGATGGCATTTAAGTGAGAAAGACAAATTGATAAGTTGAGTAAAGGTGACATGAATTTGAGTTTTGTTCTTGAATATTCAGCTCCATGATTGTATCACATAAACTTCCATGCATCATATGTCTAACCATGATTAAGAGCATTTTCTTTTATGATTTTAACAAAATTAGTAATCATTTTTTTCTTGTCTTTTTTCTATGCTACTTGTATGATGTTCTTAAAACAAAAATCTGGATTAAACATAAGGTTTTTTCTTTAAAAGATATACACGTACTATGGTGGTGGCTAAGATATACTTTTTTCCTTAAACATAATCTGGATCCATAAGAAACCTTTACAACTAACATAGTCTTTAAAGAAATTTTAGGAATATACTGTTTTAACATATTTTATAGATAGATTAGAGATTTATAAGGTTCTTTTATTTTATTGGACAGTCAAATGGTAGTAGTAGAATTATTAGGCTGTTTTATATATGCAACTGGATTGATACCCAGACAAATTTTATGTTTGGTAATTGAGCCTACGTAGAGATTTTATATATGTGTGTTTTTATAGTTGTCTTATCTCCAGGTTAGCCTAACTCAAATTAGGCTATGAACAAATTAGATTTAAATGTTAAATAAGTCATCAAGTCAAGATTTTATTCCTTCATCTACTAAATGTTTAATTTTTGGTTTTACTTTATAGATGGATCAAACTTTTTTGCTAACCACCCTGAGTTGGTGCTTTCTTGTTTGAGGTTGTGTTTTGTTGCCATATTTCATATTTTTCATTTATATACTTCCTTTGAATTTAAATATAAATAATAAAACATTAGACTGAAATAGAATTTGAATCCTTTTATCCTTATTATTAACTTAAAAGTGAATAGGAAAATAAGAAAGCAAATTCTGTTATCGGAACAATGGTACAGCATGCCAAACTATAAAATTCTAAAATTTTAATTATGAAAAGTTGCCACTAAAACTAGGAAGTCTAGTACTACTGTTAGGGTAGAATAGTTTGGATATGACCCTACCACAACATTTGATGGAGTTGCCTTGAGAAGATGAAGCAATGGTTCTCCTCTTTCTTTCTCCTTGCTCCACAATCTTTCTTGAGGTCTTCAAATGTAGTAGGAAGCAAAAAAAAACAAAGTATGCTCTGTTTTGGGCATGTAACACCCCAATTTTCATAAATTATACGAAGGTTCAAAGCCCTATAAGGGTGATTTAGTAGCCCAAAACGGGTCGTTCCAAAACTGGAACGGGAAGTTCCAAACTACTAAAAAGACATATATTTAGTAGCCTAGAACGGGTCGTTCTCAAATTGGAATATGTCATTCCAAACTACTAAAATGACCTATAACCCTAGTTGGGAACGGACCGTTCTGGTTTAAGAACGGACCATTTCAGATGTGAATTTTACACATGATAAAAGGATCTAGAACGGGCCGTTTTGGATTCGAAACGGGTCGTTCCGGCCTCTCCTGACATCTATAAATAGCAGACTCTAGCACTACTTCTGGACACACTTTCTGAAGACCAAGGAGAACCAAGAGAAGGAGATCAACCAGATTCCGCTCTAGCTTCAACTTCTGCTTATCCAGGTAAGGGGGGAGTGAGAAACCTCGCTCTAGGTGTGGGAATGTATGTTGGGTAGTGGGATCGGCCCCTAATCGTATGTTTGTTGTGTGCTCATGTATGAGGGGTTTTTCCCAATTGTATCTGTTTCTTCCCTATTTCTCCCTAAATGTTCTAACTGATGTAATTAGTATCACTACAACGTTTTTTATATTAGGCAACGAGTTTTTCGGCAACGCCTAAAAAAATGTTCTCGAAATATGGATAGGCAACAATTTTGTAAATTGTTGGTACTTTGTTTGACAACAATCATAAAATCGTTCCCAAAAGCACATATAGGCAACACTTTATCAAAGCATGCACTATTCTCTTTTCAATATTTACAAAACTGTTCCTGAAATATGAAACAAGCAACAAATTTCTAGTCGTGGCCACTTCTCTACCCAACAGTTTAAAAACCATTCTTAAAATTGATATTAGGCAACAATTTATAAATTATTGCTTATTTTATATCATGCAACACAATAAAAAATGTTCCCAAAATATATTATTAACCAAGTTTATTATTAAAATGGAAAGTTTATTTCGTTAAAGTTAATAGGCAACACTTATAAACGTTGCTTAATGATTATACCTGCCCTTTTGTATTCCTGGGAAATATTAATTAAAAAAATTAAACTTCTCCTTATCTTTAATTCCAAAAATATTAATTCGCGGGAAACAAAAGACTTCTCGTCTCCTAAAACCAAAAAATAGAATCCCTATAATTTGCCCATTACGTTTGCTTGCTTCTCTGTGTCCTATATGCATCTTTCTCATCACGTGTAGCTAGTTGTTCTACGCTTTCTATTACTAGGCGCCTCTTAGGTATGATTCTCACCTTTTATCTGTTTCTCTTTGTATGTGATTGCTGTTATTTTTATCTCTCCCATTCCGTGAGGTGGTAGATTATGTGATGTTGTGCATTGAGTGTGTGGGTTATGGGGTTCACAAGTGTACGTGTGTGTGTGTGTACGATTATAGGTCTATGGCTATATGGGTTATATGGGTTATGAGTTCATTGCGATTATGGGTTATGGGTTCCGTTTGGGTATGTGAGATGGTTTAAAGTAGGTGCGTGAAAAAAAATTTTGAACCGAGACCTCAAAACTATTTTCACAAATTTCAAGCATTTTTGCAATTCATGTATCACTAATTATTTCCGACCGTTTATGTAGATGAAGCAATGGTTCTCCTCTTTCTTTCTCCTTGCTCCACAATCTTTCTTGAGGTCTTCAAATGTAGTAGGAAGCAAAAAAAAACAAAGTATGCTCTGTTTTGGGCATGTAACACCCCAATTTTCATACACACAACATAGATTCTTTACAAAGGCTTATAGGAAAGCCATTTACTCACTATGGTCGCATAGAGCGCTATTTAGACACTTAGTTGGAAATGTACCTCCTATTTGTTCTTATTTCTTATCATTTTAAAACATGACTTGAAAAGGACAATTTTAGGGGAAAAAGGCAAGGAAAAAGAATAAGAACATATGTTTTTATTTCACCTTTTTTAAGGATGGAAAAAAGTAATATGATAGTATATTTTCATTTATCTTGATATTATTAATATGTATTTATATTTTCCCTTTTGAATAGGGATGACAATAGGTTAGATGGGTACGTGTTTCACTATCCTTATCCTCATCCATGTTCCTATACCTTATACTCATCCTCGTCTCATACCTGACAGGTATGAGATTTGTGTCTCCATCCTTGTCTTTATCGAATATTGGGTATACTTGTACCCACTCAAAAATTAATTAAATATTTTTTTACAAAAAAAATATTCAAAAACAAATTTCAACATAGAGTAATAATTATAAAATTACATTAAGTTTCATTTTATGTAAATTTAAAATAAAGTAAGAATTACATAAATGTCAAGTATTTTTTTTAAAAAATAAATTAAGTTTCTATAAATTTAAAGTGGATAGGATATGTGTACAGGACGAGTATGTATATACCTATCATCTTCCTCGTACTCGATTTAATAAATTGGATATTACTCGTACCCAATAAAACTAGGTATTTCCCATTAAAATTGATGTGGATTCGAATGTTACCCACAGAAACATATTAATTTATTTGTCATCCCTACTTTTGATAAATCTAAAAGAAAATTTAATTTTTAGGTGACAATTTTTCATTTGTCTTTGTGGAAGTGGTGGTAATGACACAATATAATACTAATTTTATAAAAGGGAAAAAATATAATAGTATTTTTATCCATAATATTTGAATTATTAGAAGGTTTAAAATAACTCATGCATATTACTCAACTAATGGAACTAGATTCCCTTTACTAATTTAGTAGTAAATTATACTAACACTCTCAAGGTTTCCTAAGATTACACACACATATTTTTTAACGTTTATAATAATCTCTCTTGCAAAACTTATAGTGTAATGTTTTTTTAAATAATTAAGGGGATTAATGTAATATTTAGAGGTGTTAGCGTAATGTTTTTCAAACAATTAAGAGAGTTGGTATAAAATTTTAAAAAAGTAGATGTGTGCAACCTCATCAAAATGAAAAAAAAATTATATATAATTTAATTGTGAATTTATTTACTCTTATAATCTTATTCTACCATATCACATGAAAAATAAAGCAAAATTCAATGTGAAAAAATTATTTTCACTTGAAATACTCTTACTTATTTATTATTTTTATAACTCATATAAGTATTCTATTTTACCTTTTTTTTTGTGATCTCATTTTACTTTATTTATGCTCCTAAGAGGTCTTAAATTGTTTAACACTCTTTTTTTGTGGAGTGTGAAATTATTCTGAATCCATTATATTCTATTACGATGCTCTGTTCACCTAAGCTTTATTTAAAAGAAAAAATCCTAATCCATTCAAGCAAAGTCATACTTTATTTTAAGAAATGTTATGTACAACAAAATGTTAAACAAAATTTACAATTAAAAGAGATAAAGAAATAAAATTTTTATAAATAATAAATATTATGATGAAAATAGATAAATAAAAAAAGTAAAGTTATATAAAATATTATATGAATAACATTATTTGTTTTTTTGGGTTTATTCATGCTATGAGAGCATAAATCTTCATATACTTTATACATTATTGCTTATGTCATGTTAATGAAGATGGACTAAACTCACCTTAATTGGAATGTCGCCAATTTAATAACAATTAATGCTTTAATAATGTTGTAGGTAAAATTATAACTGACATTTTTCTTTTCCTTTATTGGCTTATATATATATATATATGTGTGTGTGTCATTTTTCATTACCAAGAGGTGTGTGTGTGTGCCAAGAGATAATCAAAAGAAAAAAATAAAAGAAAAAGAATGACATTATTATCTAGGAAATGAAACTCCCTACTCATTAGCCTTAAGAGCCCCAATTAGATTACCAAGAGGTGTGTGTGTGTGTCAAGAGATAATCAAAAGAAAAAAATAAAAGAAAAAGAATGACATTATTATCTAGGAAATGAAAGTCCCTACTCATTAGCCTTAAGAGCCCCAATTAGATTACTAAGAGGTTTTAACAAAATCACCAAAAGATCCACATCACCAGCACCCATCTTAGCTAGGAAATTTTCACAACGATTACCTTCTCTATAAGTATGATGGAGTGTGAACACCCATTCTCACCTCATGTACTCCTTAATAATAGCAACTTCATTAGTAAAATGATGGTAAGGAGACAAATCATTCAAGACAAGATAAATTATTTTCTTAGATTTAGAAAAACAATCCACTGTTTGTACCCTTGATTCCAATAGATATGTATACCATGAACAAAAGCCATGACCTTTGCATGCAAAATTAAAGCTTCAACCATACCTCCATAAAAATCCAAATGAAAATGTCCATCTTGGTTTCTAATTACACACACATGTGTGTGTGATGTAAAATTAATAAGAACAATAAATATAAATTAATAAATCAATATTCATAATTATTTTAAGTGATCATGTAGTTGGTGATTGATTTTTAATTTTCTTATATAACTAAAATTTATAAAACTAATATTCCTTAAATAGATCTGTTGAATCATGACATAGAAGGGAATAAGATCACAATCATGATTTATAAATAAATAAAAAGAAATTAAAAGAGGAAAAATATAATAATGCACTTTGTGAGACATCATCTATCATGAATACCTCTCATTATATATTGCAAAAATAAATAAATAAAACTAACATATTCATTTATGATGGGACCTATCAACATTTCTTCAAAATTTGTGTCATCAAGAATTAAAGAGTGTGATCAGAAAAAAGAATTCCCCAGCAATATTGCATCGCAAATTCTTGGTTTAGAGATAACAAGTTCGACATTATCTGAATTTCTCTTTTTTGTCGTCATTTGTGGTGTTTACGTCAAGGATGTGAAAATCTAATTACTTTTCCAAAAGGGTGAAAGAACAACATAACATTAACATGGTTTGGCTTTCTTCCATTCCTCACATTTCTGACTTTCTTGTTATCTCTCGGTGTCTAGATTTCCTTGCCAAATTTTGAACTTTTTCCCCAAAATTTTTCACCCAAATAAATTTTCCTTCGTTACCAAATTCTGGGTCTATCTATCTTTCTCTCTCTCCAATCCCCTTTTTGTGATAAAAACCAAAGGGAAATTTCCTTCACCTTCAAATCTGAGTTGGGTTGTCCTTGTCCCCTCTCTGAGTTGGGATTTGTATCAATAGAAACAAATCCTAATTTAGAGAGAAGGGTGCATTTGTATTGAAAGTGTTCAAATTCCTTGAATTCAAACCAATATGACAAGAGGATAGCCCAAATGATCCTTCAGTAATTCAACTTCGAGGTTTTGAGCTTATTTCTTGGTAGTTTCTACAACTATTATATATATAAAGTTGCTTATCTTGTATGTGTTTTTGTTGTATCAATCTAATTGTTGTATCTTTTTTATTATTTCTTTCTACTATGTTTATAGGCTTAAATGAAGCAATTTCCTACTAAGTTGTCTTTATCTTGGAGGAGGGATTTGGGTTCGACTTCAGATTGGTTATATTTTGTGTGTAATTGATTCATAAGAAAAGTTATATAAAAAAAACCTTTTTTCTTATGTTGTTGAATGGGTTGAACTATGAGTTTTGTGGACTAGGAAGAGTGGTATTTTTTATCGGTTTATTTACTATTGAATTGTTGGGTTCAATATGGGGAAGAAAAAACAGGACGGAGAAACAAGTGAAGATGGAGGAAATCATAAGAAAGTTGAAGATAAAAGCCACAAAGCATATGATAATGATACTATGATGTTTATATCAATGTCTCAAGAGTTGAAAGATGAAGGGAACAAGTTGTTTCAAAAGAGAGATCCTCGAGAAGCTTTGGTAAAATATGAGAAGGCCCTTAAATTGCTTCCAACAAATCATGTAGATGTGTCCTATATACGGAGTAACATGGCTGCGTGCTACATGCAAATGGGGCTCAATGAGTATCCTAGAGCAATCCATGAATGCAATTTGGCTCTTGAAGTAACACCAAAATATAGTAAAGCTCTGATGAAAAGGGCAAGGTGTTATGAGGCTTTAAATAGGCTAGATTTTGCACTAAGAGATGTTAGCACTATTTTGAAGATGGATCCAAATAATATTATGGCATTGGAAATATTAGATAAGGTGAAACATGCACTTGAAGATAAGGGGTTAGTAGTAAATGATACGGAAATTGAGTTGCCTCCTGATTATGTTGAACCACCTTTTACTTTACCTCTAAAAGAAGTAGTGAAAAAAAAGACACAAAAAAAGAAGAAGAACAAAGAGAAGGCTAATCTTCCTAATAAAATTGAAGAAAAACAACCTGAGGATAAATTGGAAGAGAATAAAGTTGAGGAAAAATTGAAAGAAAAGAAAGTTGATGACAACATTCTAGTAAAAATAAATGGGGGTAGTCAGAAAGAGAAGAAGGCTAAGAAATCTAAAAGGAAGGCCAAGGAAAAAGTTGATGAAAAGAAGGATGTTGTTAAGGAGGTTATTGAGGAAAAAAGTAATGATAAAAGTGAAGGTATACCTAAGAAGACAACAAAACTTATTTTTGGTGAGGATATAAGATGGGCTGAATTGCCAGTTAATTGTAACCTCTTTCAATTAAGAGAAGTTATTTGTGATCGATTCCCTAGAGTAGGAGCATTTCTTGTCAAATATAGGGACCATGAGGGTGATCTGGTCACTATCACTTGTGATGAAGAATTAAGGTGGGCTGAAATAGGAGCACAAGGTTCTATCCGATTGTACATAGTGGAAGCTAATCCTGATCATGACCCATTCTTTCAAAATATTAATGTAAAGAATAAACAAACGGTTAACATTGATAATTCTCCTGTGAATGGTTCTGTGGTGAAAGCGAAGGACATCATTAGCTCCTCTTGCATTGAGGATTGGATAATTCATTTTGCACAACTATTCAAGAACCATGTTGGGTTTGAATCTAACAAATATTTAGATTTTCATGAACTTGGGATGAAGTTATATTTAGAGGCTTTGGAGGAGACAATTATAAGTGAGGAAGCACAATGCCTATTTGACATGGCAAGTGGTAAATTCCAAGAAATGACAGCTCTAGCGTTGTTTAATTGGGGAAATGTGCATATGTCCAATGCAAGGAAGAAAGTATATTTAACAGAGAATTCTTCTAAAGAACATGTGATTGAACAAATCAAAAGTTCATATGATTGGGCACATGAAGAATATGAAAAGGCTGGAGAAAAATATGAAACAGCCATTGAAATTAAGCCAGATTTTTATGAAGGGTTTTTAGCACTAGGCCAGGAGCAGTTTGAGGAAGCAAAACTTTCTTGGAATTATGCACTCTGTAGTAATGTAGATTTCGCAACATGGCCCTCCATTGAGGTTCTTCAATTGTACAACAGTGCTGAGGATAATGTGGAGAAAGGAATGTTGATATGGGAAGAATCAAGAGAGGAACAATTGAGTGAAACCTCTTATCCTAATGACATTAGATTACATTTGCAGAACATGGGGTTGGATATGCTATTCAAAAATATGTCATCAAATGAAATTTTTGCGCATGTAGAAAATATGAGGTCACAAATAAATCTTCTATGGGGTACTATGTTATACGAACGCTCAATAGTGGAATTTAAATTAGGGCTACCTGAATGGCATGAGTGTTTAGAAGCTGCAATTGAGAAGTTTGAACTTGTTGGAGCTTCTACAACAGATATAGCTATGTTATTGAAGAACCATTGTTCAAATAACACTAATGTAGATGGTACGTTTTCTTCCAAAGACAAAAATTTTATAATTGAAGTGATACATATTCATGTATACTAACATTTTGTCTAACAGGTCTTGGATTAAAAAATGATGAAATTATACAAACATGGAATGAGATGTATGAAGCTAAAAAGTTGCAGAAGAGTGTTCCATCGTTTCGTTTGGAGCCCTTGTTTAGAAGAAGAATATCAAAAATTTACCATGCCTTCGAGCTTGTATGAATTTTATTTTTTTTGCAATGTGTTGAAGAATAATGGTGTCAAAACCCACATGGGTTGCTTTTGTGTCTCAAATGTTATTGTCATCATTAAGGTAACTAAGAGTCCTATACCATTGTTGATAACATTCATATTATTCTTTTTTATTTACATTTATATAGAGTGAGACTAAGTACATTCTACAAAAGCATCTTACATATTCGAGCATTGATATTTATCCACAAAATATTGGTGTTAGATTTATCATGTGTAAATTAATGTTTTTATGATCATTGTCATAAATTAAGTAGACATTATGTATTAGTTAGCTATTGGCATTTAGCTCCTTGATTGGTTGTAATTATACTATAAAAAGAGAGCGTGTGCCGCTTAGAAACCACAATTTCTCTTAAACACTTTGTTTTTGACAAATACCATATGTCTTCTAATCTAAATGTAGTTTTATCATCAACTTTTAATATGAAATATATATGTGCTAAGATTTTTGTTATTTTCTTTTTTAACTTTAAGAACTTTTCTGCAAACCCATCTTAAAATGATCAATTTTTTGTTGTGTACATACTATTTCTAGGTAGCATTGACAATTGTTCACAAAGTATATAAGAGGTTTTCATATAAAGTTCCTAACAAGGACTTCAATATTAAACTTAAGTCTTTATGATTTTTGAACTAATACATGAATCTCGTTTTAGATCTTACTCTATAAAGGACTTTAGATTGTTATATCTTTACACCTTAGAGCATTAAGTGCTATCTTAAAAAACTACTTTTGTGAGAAAAATACATTTAATAGAAATTAACTTTTGTCCCTGGGTCAATTATTCTACATGGATCTTCAAGAAGATTATATTTCAAAGAACTTGGTATTCACTTGAATCAATTAGAATTATGGAGCAAGTTGAATTAATGGAAATGGATTTGTTTATCTAATCACATCAAGCCTTTGCTTTTTCAAGGGATGTTGTGCCATTTTAAAAATTAAATGCAAAGATGTTCTTTTTAACTTTTTAGAACATATATAGTTTGAATAGTAATTTATTACATTATGGTGTAGATGCAAACAATAAAATTTTGGTAACAATATCTAATCTAAATGTACTACAACAACAATATATATGTATGCAATCAAAGAGAAAATGAATATGATTAAGAAAAATCCTAGATTAGAAATTTTCACTGTGTACATTATTAATTTATGGGCCTAATATTATTATATCATTTGCTAAATATTGTGATTACATGTTAAGATAATAATGTGTTATTACATTAGTAATTTTGAATTTTATTTGTGAACCATTTTGGTAATTTTGTGATTATTCTTTTTTGAACTTAGTCTAGAAATTGATGATAAAGATATTATGACTACAACACACTCAAGCATTTCAAGGTTTAAACTTGAGATTCTTTATGTTTATTGTTTGCGGTAGATTTCCTATAAAAGATTTTGCAATTTAAATGGTTGTGTTTGTATCATGAATATCTACAATGAATTTGTTATTATATCATGGTTCATTACTTTGTTACTAGAGATGCCAATCATACATTTTTTGACACATTCATAGTTGATTGAGTTTTCTCTATTTTGGAAAATGAATCCAATGATTAGCATTGCTTACTACTATTAATTTTTTTGCTCTTCTACAACTCAACTGACATGTTTTGCATGCAACCTTTAGTTACATGCATGATTAGCATTGCTTACTACTATTAATTTTTTTTTCTCTACTACCTTTGTTCATAAAATATGGATCATGGTTTATCATCTTTAGTCATCTTTGTTGGCTTATTTTGCAGGTTTTTTTTCCCTACTATCAATAGTTTAGAGTCAACAATGTACTCATAAAGAGAAACTCTCTTTTGCATTTCACATATATGTTTTAGAAGAATGTAAAAGTTTGCAAGTTCTTTAATAGGTTGGGAAGATAGAATTGCAAAAATTACCTTTCAGTTACTTTCTGCCTTTTCTCACATAGCCTTCCCTTTATGGTTAGATTTATAGAGACCATTAGGATATTAAAATTATACTGAAAGCAAATGGTGAGTTTTTTTGTTTGTTTTCCTATTTCTCTTGTTGTATAGTTTATCCATTTGTAACTACTTTGTTGAACTAGTATTTCTACACGAGGTTTCCTTGTAATTGATTATCCAATGTACTTATAAAGTCAGAAGAAAAAGGCATCTAAAACAATTACACGAATAATAATAGATTTTAATTCTTGTAGGTATCATAATCTACACACAAAAAAATTGTGTTAACTTTAAATTTGACACTATAGTTTTGGTGTGTTTGAGAACCATTAGTTTGGATTTAATATATTTATTAGTTGTTTCCTTTATATTTATATCTTTTATTTACAAATACTATTTTTTTTACCATCATACAACATCTTAAAAAATAATATTCATTAAGAAGTATAGTTTTGAATCAATATAATGTTATGAAGCATAATTATAATAACATTTTAAAACTAATTATAGACCTAATGCCCGTTACAAATAACTTAATTATGCGAAATTGAGCTTGCACTCATATTGTCAATATGGTCATGCTATTAATATTTAAAGGAACATGAATTCAAACATAAACTCCAAAATATGTCATAATCATTTCAATGATAATGTTCATTCTTCTTATTAAAGCCAGAAAACAATGACAACATTCCTTTGGCCTTAGGTCTTTGGCCTTTGGTTACAACTTACAAGGCCAGGAAAAAGGCCAACATACTCATGATGTTTACACATGTAGAGTAAATATACAATTTGGGTTTTAACATGATAACATGTATTGATTTTTTTTTCACTTAAAAGCTTGTATATATTATGATTTACCTTTTAATAATGTATCAACTTTTAGACAATTTAATCATTCCCTTGACGATTGTTAAATAAGTGTAGTGCAATCATTGAGATGGCACATTACATGCACACATGTATCATTAATTGCCATTTTGATTGGTTACATGAATTGAAAAGGGCATTGTTTTATACTTAAAAAATTTGAAAATAAATTCTACCTTAATTAAAACTAAAACCCCACTTCACCCCCTCCCCTAATTTTACTCTCCATTTTCACCTTCCCCTGGAGTGGTTTTTATATTCCACCACGACTTCCCTTTCTCGAAATATTAGATTCTTCTACAAGTTGAGGTAAATGGTTTCCTTTATCTTTTAGTATTGGATAGTGAAGTTCTTATTATATGCATAATTTTTTATGAGAGTACAAGGGCAAGGTCAATCTTGATATTTTATAGATTGTAGGCAAAACGAAAAATATAGGTCTTTATGTATTAATAACATAGTAAAATATGTTTTTAATCTCTAAAAAAAAATTTAAGTTTGGTTTTACTCCTTCAAAACTTTTGTCTTATTGTGAATACTAATTTTTATTGGAGAACCTGATGGTTATGTTGATATCTTGCTTAAGGGGGGTGAGTCTAGTACTATTTAGACTCATGACTTGTTGGCATGAGTCCTTATATAAACATTTATAACATAAAATTAAATACACAATTTAATTAAAATTTACGTATTTTATTAACAAGTCTAAAAAATGTACTATTTTTTCATTCAAATTACTTCTATATTATTGTTTATTATAAGATATTATTTAAATAATTTTGAGGATTAAAAGTGGTGCATCTTCAATTTAAAAGGACCAAAATACAACAACTTTTTCAAGGACTAAAATCAAACTTAAAAAAATTATATAGAGATAAAAAAGCATATTCTACTCTTTTATGGATATACTACATAAAAAAACCTAATAATAAAAAAATATATCATATCACAATTTTATATTTTGATATAAAAATAAATATATAAGTTACAATTCTTAGTCCTTGTTAAATGAAGGAGTTTTAATTTTGATCTATGTAAAACAAATTATTTTTCATCCCTAAAAATTTTAAAATATGTTTTAGTCTCTACTATTATGTGATATTTTTAACTACTTATTTGTTTATGATAAGTTTAAGTGACCATCTCATGTGGCATTATAAATATTTGTGATACCATGTCAACATGTCACATTTCTATAAAAAAAAATTATAATTTCTTTAATAAAATTTTCTACCTTAAAATGATCATTACAAACGAAAATCAATAAATTTAGAATTTACAAAGATGAAAAGAAAAAAAAATATTTTATAGGGACTAAAACCAAAATTTATTTATTTACAATGATAAAAAATAATGTTTACAAATTCTAGAATAATAAAAAAAACAAATTTTTTTTATAGAGACGAAAATCATTTTAAGTCTAATTTTATTTTTAAAGATAATATAAAATATTAATTTACAATTACATAATTAAAAAAAAAAAATTTTAAGTCATCTTAGTCATAAGCTTGAGACGGTCACACCTTCCAACAACGTCCAATGCTAACTTGGAAACAATGTAATTAATGTAATTAGATTTGATTTTATTATTTTAAACATGTACAATAAAATGTATTGTTTATATGTAAAAAAAAAAAATTAACAATTTTTATGCTTTGTTAATCCTCTAGTTTCTCAATTAGAAATTGTAATTGAATGAAAAGGAGTGAAAATTTGAATGGAATAAATTGTAACTAACTTTTATAAATAAAAAAGTATTTTAAAATAATATTTTCTTAATAAGAAGATGGATGTTGCTTCTATATATAAAAAAAGGCAACACTATTATTTTAAAAAATAATTTAGATACATAAAAAATCTATTTGTGTATTAAAAAATATTTTTTTTTAAAATTTTAACAAACGACCTATATCTTTATCCTTCCATAATTTTTCTAGTATTTTAATTTTATTTATTTTAATAATAATAAAATTCATTAGTGGTTTGGACATCTCTTACTCAATTTGAATAGTTTCATTAATTGAAGTTTATTAAGTTTTTCATTAAAGTTTGACATCACACATCACGAACCAACAAACTTCTTAAGGTATATGTTATTCATTTATTTATTTTATTTTTGCATCCTAAAACATGTTATGATAATACTATCCTTAAAATTCTACTCAAAGGACTAGGGTCAACCTAATGGTTAGAAAAAATGGGTTAGGATAGTTAGAAACATAGGAACATAGATTCAATCCCATAACTATCTTTGCAATTTTTCTTATCTTTACTAAAAAAATTTCATTCAAATTACATGCATCGTGCAACAAGTTCACAAAACCCATCTCATGCACACAAATGTGCTTCTC